AACCAGGAAGGAGGTGGCATGACATGAAGACAGGGAAATTAGCAAGGAACCCCAGGGGCAGCAGGGCCAGCCCTCTCCTCACAGGATTAGGGGAGGAAAAAAATCAAATACCTGCTTTGCCCAGAGCCCTAAATAAGTATCAGATTGAGCCAAAATTCAAAGGCGAAAATACAAATACAGAAGTACGGCCAGGCCCAGTGGCTCACACCTGTAATCCCAGCACTTTGGGAGGCCGAGGCGGGTGGATCATGAGGTCAGGAGATGGAGACCATCCTGGCTAACATGGTGAAACCCTGTCTCTACTAAAAACACAAAAAATTAGCCGGGCGAGGTGGCGGCGCCTGTAGTCCCAGCTACTCGGGAGGCTGAGGCAGGAGAATGGCGTGAACCCGGGAGGTGGAGCTTGCAGTGAGCCGAGATTGCGCCACTGCCCTGCAGCCTGGGCAACACAGCAAGACTCCATCTCAAAACAAAAACAAAAACAAAAACAAAACAAAAAACAAAAACACATACAGAAGTACTAGCAGTAAGTATAGGAAAATATTTTCAAACTCTTGCGAGTGGGAAAAGTCTTCCAACATAAGCTTTAAAATTCTGAAGCCATAAGGAATAGAGGAACATGTATCACTCTACACCTAAGTTCTGCACAGAGTCGCACAATCACTTACAAGACAGAGCGTGGGGAGAACACAGCTGGAGGACACACTGGGGACCAAGAATTACTGCTCATCAGACGTCAAGAGTCCTTATGAATCCGAGCAAAGGCCAATCACCCCACAGCAGTTCAGGAATGAATCGACATTTTTCTCTCCCCACCCACCTTCCGTGACAACACAGCACCTACATTATGATGAAATCACACTCTAATCTGCACAGATTTGATAAAGCTTAACTTCAGTGGTTCAGCGCTCTGCAGTCGGTCCCTTGCTGGAACCCCAGGCCTTACTCTAACATATCTAACTTAGGGCAGTTACTCTTAACTTTCTAAACCTTAACATCTGGAAACAACTGTATCTGCTTCATAGAGTTATTTTTGTATTTTTATTTTTTTGAGACAGGATCTGGCTCTGTTGTCTAGGCTGGAGTGCAGCAGTACCATATCAGCTCACTATAACCTCCACCTCCAGGGCTCAAACCATCTTCCCACCTCGGCCTCCTGAGTAGCTGGGACTACAGGCATGTACCACCATGCCTGACTAATTTTTTTTATTTTTTGTAGAGGCGAAGTTTCACCATGTTGCCCAGACTGGCCTTGAACTCCTGGGCTCAAGCGATTCTCCCACTTTAGCCTCCCAAAGTGCTGAGATCACAGACATGAGCCACTGCACCCGGCCTGTAGAGTTACTTTGAGTATTCACTGAGAGATACGCCTAAAGAAGCACTTAGTACAGTGTCTGGTACACAGTAAGTGCTCCATAAAGGCTGGTTCTATGTTATTACTCATTAACGGAGTAAACGTTGCACATAACAGCAACTATCAAATCCTTCCCTGCTTTTCTTCTGTCCATAACATGTGTCGGAGCAAGCACATTTCCCTTGGAACCATGCCCTTACAGGTCTGGGACTACAGGCATGCGCCACCACACTGGCCTGTTATTTTTACTTGTTTATAGAGACGGGATCTCACTATGTTGCCCAGGCTAGTCTCGAACTCCTGGCCTCAAGTGATCCTCCCATCTTAGCCTCCCAGAGGGCTGGGATTACAGGTATGAGCCACTGTTCCCAGCCTGGGGTGCTGTAATTTCTAACTACTTCTTACTCTTCATCCAAAAACCTCAAGGATCCTGTCATCATTAGGTTCTAAACCAAGTTAGTTCAAAAACCAAGAACCTCCTAAAGTACCTGCTGTTTTTCCCAATCACTCCAACCTCGTCAGTGAGTCAAACCATGTCCTGCCCCTGAGGCAGCAATAGTCTACTTAACCACAATTCAACAATCCTGAGGCCTAGTCACCAGAACACCTTATAATTCAGACACTTCTGTTTTCTACATTTTCTCCACTAACATGGACACCACAGTGTATAATTTACACAATGAATTACTGCCAAAAAAATCATAATAATTATGAGAATGAAATACTGACACTACCACAAAGTAAATGAAAGACGCAAATGAGAGACTCAATCAAGCCCTCAGTTTCCACACAGTCAAAACAACATTCAAGAGGCCTCTTATAATATTAGAAGAAACTCTAATGATAAGATAGCAAGTTGCTACACACTAAGACTTACTCTGTTCTCCAATGAGTGACAAGTACGTTTGATCTGGCAGACTACCAAGAGCTTAGTGATGCTTAGTTTGGGTGAGAACACAAAGCTATTAAATATTTTAATAGGAATAAAGGCAACACAATTCTATTGTACCTCTATATTTAAATTTGAATAAAATTTAAAAAATCTTTAACACTAAAAACAAAATTCCATATAGTCAACTTCACATAAACTTTTTAGCATTAAATATTAGATGCAGCACTTAGCATTTAATAAAAATGGAGTAACTGATTTTTAAAGCTTCATGTTAATGTGTCATGCATAATAAACATATTTCAGAACAAACAGGAATACGACATATACTAATACATG